TCTAGGGTGTGTGCCTGTAATCCCAGGGCACTGGTAGAAGGTGGGAGTGGCAAACAGAAACAGTGAGAGACCACAGCTCAAAAAAGGAAGGTGGAAAAAAAGATGTGGTGGCTAACACCTTCAGTTTTAGCACTTGGAAAGCAGAAGCAAACAACTCCCTGAGTTCTAGGCCAGTCTGGTCTACACATAGTGAGACCCTATCTTTTTTTGTTTGTTTGTTTTATAACAGGGTTTCTCTGTGTAACTGTCCTAGCTGTCCTGGAACTAGCTCTTGTAGACCAGGCTGACCTCAACTCACAGAGATCCGCCCACCTCTGCCTCCCAAGTACTGGGATTAAAGGCGTGCGCCACCACCGCCTGGCAAGAGACCGGTCTTAATGAAAAAGGTGAAAAGTAATAAAGGAAGGACTCCCATTGTGAAGCCCTGGCCTCCACAGGCTCACAAACAGGTAAGCACACCCCACACATATCCATGTACATGCCAATCACACATAAACACAAAATTTGTAAAAAGCTACACTGTATACTTTATACAGGTGAACTGTATGTCAAATACACTGTTTTTGTTTTTTTTTAATTGACATCAGCTAGGCTGAGCATGGCAGCACAAAGATATAATCTCAGCACTCAGGAGGCCTGTATGGGCTACAAAGCAAGACCCGCTTGAGAAACAAAATAATACAAACAAAACTTATTAACAACTAAGGTGAGAATGGGGGGAAGAGTACTTACTACAAATCCAGTCTCGGTGATGTAAACATATTGACTTTTTAAAAGAGACTTTATATATATATATAATTTATATAATATATGATATATATATTTGACATGTTGATTTTGAGGTGTATATTAAGTGAAAATGCTCAGTGGGCAGTAGATGCCACCCCTTACTGGTATCAGTAACCCCTGGAATCCTGCAGCTTGATGGATGTTGTTTAGCGTCACGATCTTAATGACATTATTAAGGGGCTGGTGAGTCTAGACACGGTCTGCAAACTACTTATAACCTGCTCAGTGTTAAAACTGCTGCCTTGCTTTTCACAGTGGATTCTTCTCTGTGAACAAGCTTTACCCTCTAGCTCAGTTCTGGAAACCTGGCAAAGGTGGGATGTCAGCTGTGACACTAAGCAACACAATTTGTGATGGAAGCAACTGTGGTAGCTAGTTTTATGTCAATTTGACACACGCTACCTCATCTGAGAGGCGGGGCCTCAGTTGAGAAAATGTCCCCATAAGATCAAGCTACAAGCAAAACTGTAGGGCATCTTTTAATTAGTTGATTGTTTGGAGCCTGGGCCACTGAGGGTAGGGACACCCCGGGGCTGGTGGTCCTGGATTCTATAAGAAAGCAGGCTGAGCAAGCCATGAGGATCAAGCAAGTAAGCAACACCCCTCTATGGCCTCTCATTCAGCTCCTACCTCCAGGTTTCTGCCCTGTTTGAATTCCTGTCCTTTAATGATGAACAGAGCTAGGAAGTGTAAGCCAAATAAACTATAGTGAGTTCTCCATTAGTCTAGAATACACGAGATACTGTCTAAAACCAAAACAAACCTTCTTCTATTTATGGCAGCATCACCGCTGTAAGAATTCCTCTGTATTAAGCAACCAGGCAAACATGTGGACCAACCAGTTGTTGGCACTACATAGTGAAGTAATGCAGAGGACAGTGAGCCTTAAAAGAAAACATATTAATCACCCCCCCCACCCCAGATTTCTGCTCTGCAAAACCTTCAAATGTGGCACTGGGAAGTGAAGCCATGAACCATCTGAGGCTTGGCTAAGTCAGAGAATAGAGGTTTTGGCTCAAAAGCAGCTGGAAAAGAGGCATGGCACACCACAAAGTTATTAAGACTAAGCTGCTGCTGACTGAGAGCTGAACCAATTCCAGAGTTTGCAGTACTGGTAGATGTAGGAGCCCCTAAGTCCCAGAGCAAACACACTTCCTTGAGAAAACCTCACAAAGCCTCCCAACCCCAACAGTATTCAGCTGAGACCCCAGAAAGTCTACAGCTTAGGAGTTAAGAATCACTCCTGCTAACAGAGTTAGAGTGGACCAATTCCATCTAACTGGTTGCCTGTCTTTGTAAATAAAGTTTTATTGGAACATAGCTATGCTCACTTGCACCTGGAAGAGTTGAGAAGTTGTAATAGTAATTGCTCATAAATGCCTAAAATACTACCTGGCCTTTACTGAACTCTACTTTGGAGTAAGGCTCCTTGTATTTTCCTGAAGAATAAGGGAAAAACCCAAAAAGATTTGTTCTAACAAAGAATAACACCTGGCAGAATCAAACTACTGCCTAACACTCAACATATTGTAAAGAAAATCATTATCATCTCTAAAAGATATCCATTGTGTCTGGGCATGGTGGCACACACCTTTAATTCTAGCACTCAGGAAACGGAGGCAGTCAGATCGCTGTGAGTTTGAGGCCAGCCTGGTCTACATAGTGAGTTCCAGGATAGCTAGGGCTGTTATACAGAGAAATCCTGTCTCAAAAAACCAAGAAGAAAAAAGATATCTATTGTAAGATATATACAATTAAATATTACATGAGGGAGATGGAGAGGTAGCTCAGTGGTTAAGAGCACTGACTGCTCATCTAAGTTCAGTTCCCAGAACCCACCTGGCAGCTCACAACTGTCTGTAACTCCAGTTCCAGGGGACTGATACCCATGGCAAAAAAACCAATGCATATAAAATAAAAATAAATAAAAGTTTAAAATATTACATGAGATATGAAGCAGGAAAATGTAAATAATAAGAATAAGAAGAAGAAGAAGAAGAAGCTAATAAAACAGACTATGAGTAACCCAGATTTCAAATGTTTAAAATAGCTGTTATAAGCTGGAGAGATGGCTCAATAGTTAAGAACACTTATTGCTCTTGTCAGTTGGATTGCCATAATGCCTATCTTGGGACTCACAATTGCCTCTAGCTCCAGTTCCAGGGGATCTGACTCCCTCTGGCCTCATCAGGTACCTGCAGATATGTGATGCACATAAATTCATGCAGGAACACACCCATGCACATAAATAAATAAAAACTAAATCTTTTTTTAAAGTTGTTATGCTTACTGGGTGGGGTGGCACATGCTTGTAATCTCAGTTTTTTTTGGAGAAGGCAGGAGGACCAAAAATTCAAGGCCATTCTACAGAAGATGCTTGTTAGGACAGTTGTTAGAAATGTCTACTAATGAGTGAATGGCTGGGAAATTTGAACAGAGAAACGGGGAGGGGGGATGCCCAGTACAGTGGTTCACACCTCTAATCTCAGCACACAGGAGGTAGAGGCAGGAGGATCAGGAGTTCAAGGACACCTTGGACTATAAGAGACTCTGTCTTAAACAAATAGCTAAATGACAATTCTAGAAATAAGTACAATATTTATGAGGCGGAGTGGGATTTTCTGTCTTTTTTGCCTTTTATTTCCGCTTGTGGGGCTGGAGTTGGAACCCCAAACCTGGGCCTCATGGGTGTTAACCAAGAATTTAGCCACTGAGCTACACTCCCAGCCCCTAGGCTTATTCTTGAGAGATACACGATGAAAAGAATCTATAAATGAAGTGATATATACCTAGGACATATTTTAAGATAATACAGTTGGGGAAGCAATGTGGCTGGGGAGGAGGAGGAACGGGTGTCTCTAAACGTGTGGCCTGCAGATGCAAACACAGAGTTTGCTGCTTTGTTCTCTGTCTTCTGTGTGTTTGGAACTTCTTACATTAAGAACATTTCAAAGGCTAAAAAAAAAAAAAGAAAGAAAATCTTCACAATAACAAGTTGTTTTAAGTGTAAAAGACCATTCAAGTAATGCTCTGTGTTCATATAATGATGGGCTCACCCCTGCCCAAATCTCTAAAATTTGTTAGACGCTGTACATTTTCACAATTTTTGAATGCTTTGGAGAACATAGGCATTTCATAAAAGCTGAGTGTTTTATTTCACGAAACTGAAGGTATGCCATTCCCTGTATGTATGTATTATAAACTTAGATACACAATACACACAAATCCAGGTATCTGACTTCACAAGCAGGGGTTGTTTTAAGCTAAACTGGACAGGTGAGATGGCTCGATGGTAAAGGCACTTACCACCAAACCTGATGACCTGAGTTCAACCTCTGAAACCCGGACGATGGAAAGAGAACTCCCTGAAGTTCTCCTATGACCTTTTTATGCACACCGTGTCACCTGCTTGAGTACACACTTACACAATAAACAAACAAATACATGTAATTTTAAACATAAACTAATAGTCCTACAACTTGATTTTTCCAAACAATTATATTTTGAGGGTACCGTTCCATGTCAAAGTCAACATTTTTATGCATCCTTAGATACACATATACACACAAAGATGTCGGTATATCTGATATCACACAAGACTGTATTAAGTTAAACTGAGCTGGTGAGGTGGCTCGGAAGGCATATATATAGTAAGTGTTGGGTATCACTATGAAAATATTTACTTCCTAAAACCGTTCCTATCTGCCTGGCACTTAAGTAGTCCCTTAAGTCGTTGGTGCTACGTCTTCCTCGTCCTTGAACCAGTTTCTGAGTTCTTTCCAGAAAAGAATCAGAGCCTATAGTAACTCAACAATGATTCACCGCAATCGTACCTGTTTGGAATGACTTGGGCATCATAAGTTCTCTTAAGTCATCATGAGAGTAATCACATTTTACAAGTTCCTCAAAGAGAAGACATGCCAATACAAAAGTGCATTTCACAGGCGTCGCCAGTATATATGTCTGTAACACTAATCACACAAGTAAAATGGTGTAAGAAAACTTTAGGCAACGACCCGCAAATCTCAAGGACTAACCACTCAGCGACATGGTCCAGGAAAGGAGTGGACAAACGTGTCTGTGTTTCTGCAGCGTGCCAGTGTGTATCGTGTGTGTGGGTCTGACTGAAAGCACGCACGTGCGTGCCGCGTCCACACGCGGTTTTATCTCTGGGCGTGGAGCCCTGGAGCGGTCGTGTGCCGATCGCTTACCTCCACGGACGAACAGGTGGACGCCGATGGGCGCCGCCATGTTGGCTCCGGTCACGTGGCCAGGAGAGCACCTCGCAGCTCCGCCCACTGGAGTTGCCGCTCTACCAAAGACCACAGGCGCCGACACAGCCGAAGGGGAGTGCGCGTGCGCGTGAGGCGGACTGCGGGAACCCGGGCTCGCTAGTGGCTCTGGTGGCCCCGTCAGCAGCTCCGCCTGCGGCCAGCACGCTCCCGGCACGAGAGGCTGGCTCCGGCCGCAGCTCTTGGTGGGCGCCATGGCGCCCTTCTGGGATGGAAGAAAACTGTCAGGTAAGTGTGGCTTCCAGTATTTACAGCATCAACGTTTCGGTGCATGGTAACAATGAAGTTGGTCGGGAAATAGAACACAATTTAGTGTCCAACATAGCACTTTGCATTGTCTTCCACTCTGTTACAACTTATTTCCTGGCAGTTAGTTGAAAGGTAGAATGTGGTTCAAACTGCTCAGCTGCCCTTTGCTGTGTTAGAACCCAAATTACTCAGCAGAGACTCCAGGATAGAATAGCTAGGACACCTGTGTGCTCCAGTGGGTATCTTCAGGGGTTTTCACTTTCCCCAGTTACACTTCCTGCTTGGCAGTATTAACTGGTGTTGTACCTTTAGGCATTTAAAAGATGACCCTGTCAGTATGCATAGCCCACAGATGAACCCCATGGAAAGCCAAGTATGAGTCAAGCGAGGCAGCTGGTGTATCCTCGATGGTACTGTTGCCCTTTTTTTAACCATCTGCCCTTGTTCTGGCGCGGATCAACCGGTCATGGACTATGTGGTACCCATCTTGTTAGCCTCCGGTGTGCAGCAGAGAACATGATATCCCCAGGTGTGTATAGTGAAGCAGCCCAAACTGTGGGTGTAGCAGTTGCTGGACTTTGAATGCAGTCAAGATCAGTAAGGATTCTCTGTGAAGGTGTGGGCGTCTTCTAATTGATTTTAAAGACGCCATGCTGAGGGGAGCATGGTGGAGCATACCTTTAATCCCAGAACTCTGGAGGCAGAGTCCAGAGGATCTCTGAGAGTTCAAAGGCAGCCTGTCTTGACCCTGCCCCAAGACAAAACAACAAACAAACAAAAACAGAAAAGGATTCACACAGACTCAGTGAAAAGTTAGACCATTCAGAGATGAGTTAAAGGGAAAAGCACAAGGCCTTCCTCACCTCAGCACGCCACAGTCCGTCAGTCCAGACCTCAGCCTTACCTTTAAGTGAAGTCACATGCTCATAAATTTTACCCTCTCTACTCCTCCTGAAGCTCAAATCCAAGAACACTTAATCCAAGCTCGTTCTTTTTGAGATTGCACATAATATGTTTTGTTCAGTCCACTCCTGTGCCCTCCCATGAGCCCATCCCTGTCCTCCTACTCCACCCCATCTCTCCCACCACTTCCCCCTCCCAGGTTCATGTGTTTTTTTTTTTTTAACACATGAGTTTGAGTCCACATAATCCTGCTAGCATGCACGTGTATGTAGGGCCATCAGTTGGAGCACAGATATCTGATCAGGGCCAGAAATCCTGAAGAAAACTGACCCTCCCTTCCCCAGTAGCCATCAATTGCTAACCCTGAGCTGGGGTGGGGCTTCAGGACCTCCTCCTGGTCCCTGTTGAGATCTTGGCTAGCTAGGTCTTGCGCATGTAGTCATAGCTGCTATGAATTCATGTGTGCATTGGCCCTGTTGAGTCAAGAAAACGCCGTTTCATAGCAGTTAACCCACTACCTCTGGCTCTCAGAATCTTTCCATAACTCCCTTCTTATGAAACGATTCCCTGAGCCTTGGAGTAAGAGAACACTCCCCTAGAGTCTATGACCTGCACAGCTGTGGACGCTTGGCCTAGTTAACAGTACCATACAGGAGTTCTGTGGAGTGGGCCTTGAATCCAATGAGAAAGTGATTGGTTGTTCCTATAACATTCACGGCGCTATTGCACCAGCGTCTGTCTGTCAGCCATGCCATTTGCTACGGTATTTACAGAGTTCACAACTGAGTAAGACTGCTGGTTCCTCTTCTCCCCCCATAGCACACATCACACCCTCCAGCACTCCGAGGGAAATAGATAAACTTGTAGCTTTCCTTCAGACTCCTTTACTTACAAACTCTGATCACTTTTGCGGGGAGGATTTCTGAATATCGGTCCTCTGTATAACTGAAACCCCAAAGGGGAGCAAAGGAGCCTGACAGTTGAGCACCGACCTAGGAAGTGTGCCGAAGAAACTTAGGATCCCCAGTAAAGCATCAGAAGGCGTGAAGCCCAGTTCTGAACATCTGAAACAGAAGATGCGTTCTTGCAGTGTAGTTTAGTTTTGGAAAACAAATGCGTGATCTGTGGTATAATCCGATGGAGGAAGTCCACGACAAGTTCCGTATGGAGGGGTTAGAGGTTAGCTCAGCCCACATGGTGCTCGTCTAGTCCTGAATTCAGTCCCCCAGTACACCACACAAAAAGGCCATAGTGGTACATGGCTCAGTCCCAACACTCAGGAGGTAGAGACAGGAAGGTCAGAAGTCCCTTGGTCAAGGAGTTGGGGTACATATGATCAGGATACAGTGTGTGGATGAATGGTTGAAATTGTCAGAGTAACCTTTAAAGTTCAAGATCACCCTTAGCTACTTGGCAAGTTCAAGGCCAGATGCATGAAATCTTGTCTCAAAAAGAAAGTAGGTTGGAGCAATGGCTATCTAGAGATGAAATATAAGGGAATTTGTCTGGGTGAACTTATTGCAGTTTTCACCCAGTCTAGCAAAGTGATGGGCTCCAGGTTGGATAAGAGATACTGGAAAGTGACATAAAAGGACATATGATAATCTCTGGCATGTACACACACATGCGTGTGCATGAATGCATGTATGCACCACACACACAAAAGACTGGCTGGGCATCGTGGCACACACCTTTATTCCCAGTACTTGGAAGGCAGCTGCAGGCAGATCTCTGAGCTTAAGGCCACATGATCTACAATAGCTAGTTATAGGTTAACCAGGGCTACAAAGTGAGGCCCTGTCCAAAACAGAACAAAACACATGGACTTGTCAGTGATTACTTATTTAAAAAATAAATCAGAAATTCCTCTGTGCGTGCTTTTGAAAAGCTAAGCATTCCACCCTTTTCCTTTACTTAATATTAAAGGTTGATGCATGCTTCCTTTGGCCTCATAAATACCAAAATTAGAATGATATAAAGATTAGCATGGCCCCTGTGCACATGATGCAAATTCATGAAGTATTCCATATTTTTAATTGGGAAAAGAAGAGAACATGTGTAAAATATATTGTATGAAAACAATTTTAAATAAAAAAGAAAAATCAGCAATAAATAAATAAATAACAAATAAAAAATGTATCCCACACAAGGTTTTCTAAAGTTGTGTGTAATTTGTGATAATTTTTAACTATTCTGGTTTCCTTAATATTGTTTTAAATGCAGTAGGGGTTGTGAGTAAACCTCTGAAGGCTGCAGTTTAGAGATTTACATATTTTTCTAGGATCACCCATAATGAAGCTATTTTTTTTCAAACCTAGACTGTAAAAAGGGCCTGTATTAGTAATGTTTCTGTTGCTCTTATAGAAACCTCACAACCAAGGCAACTTACAAGAAGAGTGTATTTGGGTTCATAGTTCCAGGGAGATTAGAGTCCCTCATGGTGGGGAAATGTGGCAGAAAGCAAGCAAGCAGGCCTGGTGTCTAGGGCAGGAAGATGACCGGAGTGGAGAAAGTGGACTGGAAGTGGGAGAGGCTTTACAATCTCTGAGCCCCTGTACTTCCTCCAGCAAAGCTGCATCACCTAAACCTCCCCAACAGCGCCACCAACCAGGAACCAGGTGTTCAAATACTGAAGCCAGTGGGGGACATTTCTCATTCAGACCACCACAGGGGCAAAGGTATTTGTCCTATTTGGTTTTTTGTTAACTAGACTCACGCTGGAGTTGCCTAGGAAGAGGCATCTCTGTTGAGAAAATGCCACCTCAAATTATCTGTCAGCAAGTCTGTGGGGACGTTTTCTTGATTAGTGGTTGCTGTGGGACGGTCCATCTCATGGTGGGAGGTTGCTACACCGTGGGCTGGTGGTCCTGGGTGCTCTAAAGAAGCAGACTGAGGGGGCTGGAGAGATGGCTCAGCGGTTAAGAGCATTGCCTGCTCTTCCAAAGGTTCTGAGTTCAATTCCCAGCAACCACATGGTGGCTCACAACCATCTGTAATGAGGTCTGGTGTCCTCTTCTGGACTGCAGGCATACACGCAGAAAGAGTATTGTATACATAATAAATAAATTAAAAAAAAAAAAAAGAAGCAGACTGAGCAAACCAGTAGGCAGCATTTCTCCGTGACCCCTGCTTCAATTCCTGCCTCCGGATATTTGCCCCTGAGTTCCTTCCCTGACTTCCCCTCATGATGGACTACAGCTGTATGCCGAAATACACCCTTTCCAACCCAAGTTGCTTTTGGTCCTGATGCTTATCGCAGGGATAGAAAGAGAACTGGGACAAGGTTTATGGGAGCATTTGTCACATACGGACACATTGTCAAGCTAACTGGACCTGATGCAGTGCGAACAAGGTTGGTTCCCTGGTCCACTGGGGGGAACTGGTGGCTAGGGACCCCCACAGCTTCCTGGGGCTTGTCTAGATGTAGCCGCTTTCCTTCTCTCTTCCTGAGCCTGCTTCTCAGTTTTGCCCTCTGCATTTCCCCCTGGAAACTTAGCCTCCTGATTTGATTTCAGGATAATTTCTTACCCTTTTACTCTGTGGCTTGAGAAGAACATTTCCAATCCTATCCTTTAATTTGCCCAGTTTTAGGACGAAGAAATGCTTTATTTATTTATGCGTTTTAAGCCAAATGAGCGTTTCTTTCCATGAGCCAGGACTGTGCATAAACATACCCTTTGTGCACTGCAGAGACCCGTCTCAGTGCTGACTGGACCCCTTGTTCCCCATTGAACAATTATATGTTTGGGCAGGTGGTCTCTGGGGTACTCTTTTAACAAGCCTGAGGGCAGAATGTGATGTGTCCCCTACCAGCTATTTGAGGTAATCATGTATATGTTACTGAATCATCTAGAAGTAC